TGGCCATGGTTAGTTATAAGTAGGATAGTTATGGTTTTAATAGAAAGAGCTCTGAAATTCTAGAGTAATGCCTTGCTTAAAGAAAATGGTAAACATTAAACTAAAATTGGGATTTGGTTGCTGCGTTGGTGATACAGTAATGTATTATAAGTGTATATTTATATTATTTATAATATTTATAACAACGGGGTTACTGACCAGTACAGTTGTTTGCTTGCATTGCGTGTAAATAAATCTTGCATTTTTAATTGAAATTGAAACAAGTGATATTAATTCTCACGCTAAATTGATTCGTGGCATAAGGAACTTCACACGAAGTTGTAAGAGCAATAATATAAATGTTTTAAATTTATAAACCACTATTCATTCTCTTTTATCATAAAAACTTCAGTAAAACGTTACAAAGATTACGTGACATTAAAAATATTTGCATTAATGTAGGATATATAAGTCATAATAAACTTAATATAGCATTAAATAATTACAAGAATAACAACTCGCTAGGCTGGGTTTACAAATTGCCACGTAACTACGAGAATATCGCATAAGAGAAACAGTGTATCAAAACCCTGAAAACGAAGACCTGCCTGTCAAGCTGCAGACGATAAATAATCGCGGACCAGCGAACGAAGCACCCAGTAAGAAAACAAATTCTCGCATCTAGCGAACTCAAGGAATAATACGAAAAGATTTAAGAGAGAAAACACGCAGCACAAAAAGGAGAAACCTTCGATGGTACAGTACACTGGCATATTCAAAGAAAGATAAAGATTGAACAAACACGTCAATGAGGCATCAATTATTTAGTCGTTTAATAACATCAACCGTCGCCCCGACTGCCAGAAAAGTATTTAACAGTGACGGCTCACCAACAGCTCGTTTTCTGGCTCTGACCGTAGGAACTAATGCAGACAAGATGGCGGAGTTTAGAATTTCGCCTCCCTCTCTACCTTTAATAAGGCCCATGAGAGAGTAGCCAAAATGTCAAATGCCAAAAGAGTTGCCAAATATTATATTGACAAAACTGTTTGCCTTGTGCATTATAAAACCACTTCGTTTTTTAGAATCTGATTCTCAGGCGACTTTGAGCAGGTGACTCGAAGCGAACATAACATACAACTAGCAATATCAGTTTGTGTGAAACATGAGACGCTCACAAGTTTAGCACATATACATATTATCGTAAACGCATGTACCATTTTAAGGACATAATTAAATTAACCATGGAAAGGTTGTTAATAAATTTAGTAATTAAATAATGTTAAGAGATTTGGCATAAAGGAAGTTAAGTCACCTTCTTCTTCCTCATCGCGGTCAATGTTGTAACTAGATGGGTCCGGGGTAAGGAGTGACTGTATTTCCTTCAGCAACGACGATTCAACAGACATGTTTTCTGCGAATTTCACAACCGCAGTAAAAATCCGTCAGAACTTTAAATGAAACAAGCAAAACGGAAAATTAACGATTACGAAACTACTCACAAAAAATGGCATAACTACCATCCACCATCGTTGTTTGGAACAGTCGTAAATAAGAATGCTTCAAGACACAAAAAAGTTTATTCGATACAGAAATACATTCACACATACAATATAGTGAAATCGCACAGGCTTCAGAAGTGTGTTTTATTTTTCCAATTTATCTTCAAGTTTTTTGAACTCTGTTTCAGATACGTCTGATTCGTCAACAACCTAAAAATGCACGAATGCAAGCTTCCAAAGTTTCAGTAAGAATACAGTAATCTCGACTAATTGTAAGGTACATGTTCAATCATATCACAGTCGGTTTGTCGGTTTTCTGGTTCAAATATAAGGATAGCGTGCATTCATTCTGGGCCGCTATATCTGATGATAATCAGGCACAAAAACCAAACGTAGTTTAAAGCACTCTAAACCTGTTAAGAGATGCCTGTTCTATTGGCGATTATCCCCTGGAACACTATGACTACTGTATATGATCACTTTAATTTGTGCAGATACCGATGCATGGATAGATGGAAGGGTAAATGTCTTGTAAATATGACCGATGAAAGTCAGTCGAAACTTCAAATTAAGAATAAAATATTTTTTGTTTTCGTGTTGCTAGTCATGGAATCAGACACAGTTACATGATTTTTGTCCTTAAATTGTTTTTTATTAGTATCTCAGAAGGAGCTGCAAACACCAGTAACTTCACCCTATAAAGTGGTAGTTTATTATCAGATATTTAGGAACGCGAGGCAGACAAAGCCACATATGTTTAAGGCCTCCGCAAGCTGCAGAGAGGTGACCGGGATCATTCACTGAGGTGTTCATGACTACTTCTACAATTTGTTTCTTTGTATAAGAAGTCATGAAGATAAGAAATTTCGTCCAGATAAAATGGAATGATTGTTGTTATGAAGAGATCGAGACAGAT